ATGCGTGCACCCCAGCACGCACCCTTGGACCACCGGGATGGAACCGGCAGCCTCAAGCCCTGAGGGTGAGGGAGAGAGCGGCCACTGCTGAGGAGGAGGTCGGGGCTGGAGGCCGCTGCAAGAGTCAGTGAATGGATGGGCGATGAGTTGGGACGAAGGACGGTGTTCGGAGCAGGGGGGAATAAAGGCGTCCCTGGTGAGGGGGGGGGGTTCCTGAATAACCTCAGAGGGATGGCAGGGGGCTCTCTGCTTCGTTAGCCCCACCCCTCTCTTCCTCCTTCCCGCTCCCCTCCCTCCCGCCTCCTCTCTAGGTCTGGAGATAGTCTGCTTGAACTCTGAACCCCCTTTGCTGGGGTCTGGGTGAGCCCTTGTTCCTCTGGGGCCGCACTGGTGCCACCTGCCGGAGGAGGGGGCTGGCGCAGGTGGGGTTGCCCCCAGGACTCAGGGGTAGGTGGCTCCTGCCTCTGTGCTCCTTGCTCACGCTTCCCTCTTGTACTCCTTCCTCTCCCCCTCCTCCTCAAGCTGCTTCCTTCTGTTCCCTGGCCCGGGAGGCCCCCTTACTCTGTCACAGTCTTCTCCTGCCCCTTGGGGTGATTTTGTCCTGATCCTCGCCACAGTCCTACCTGCATCCTAAACCCAGTCCTCCAACTCCTGCCCCACCCTGGCTCCCCCCTCCCCCACCCCCGCCAAGTGCTGGCCCCCATCCTGTGCTTCTGCCTGCCCCTGCCCCTGTCCAGCCCTGTCTTCATTCCCAGCCCTGTCCCAGCCTCAGCTTCCCAGATGGGCTTGCTGAGGTACTCGCCTCATTGTCATTCTATCCACAGCAGCATCAGTCGCTGGCTGCAGGCGCTGTCGGGGTGAGGGAGAGAACGAGAAAGAGAGAGGTCGGGGCTGCTGGTTGCGGGGAGGTCTAGGTCCACTCCCTGGGCGTCCTCTCTGGGCGGGAGGGTGGGGTGGGGGCTCCAAGCAGGATTGGAAATAGCCGCTCTTTATTGAACACCTACTATGTGCCAGAAACTTCAGACAACAGCGTCCCTGACTCCCGGCAGCCCTATGTGGCAGGTACTATTCTCCATTCCATTTCAAGAGGTGACCCGATGGCCCCCGGGGTGGACACTGACAGGATTCACCCTGGACCCAAGTCCTCCCGGTCAGAGCCCCTGCTGTGTGTGGGCTTTGGGGAATGCGAGAGTAGTTGGCCCCCTACTTTAGGCGCCCCTGGATCCCTGAAGCCCCGTGAGATCTCCAAGGATGGGCAGGGTTCCCACAGGCACAAAAAGGGTGAGTGGGGAACGCACATGGCTGGGGCAGGGGAGGCGAGCTGCATGAGCAGATACTTGGGAGAAGATGGGCCTGGGGCATGCGTCTTGGGACAAGGCTGGGCGGTGGATCGGAGCCACCTTATATAGGGCTTGAGGACTTGGAGACCAGGCTGGGGGGGGGGCTGGCCCTCACAGAGGAGAACTGGAGAGCCACCGGAAGTTGTTGAGCAAGGGACACCTTGCTCAACACCCGTCTGTATCCATTCCTTCCTTCCTTCCTTGGTTCATTTATAAAACATGCACTAAGTGCCTCCTCCGGCCAAGCCTTTGCTGGGACTGGTGAGGCAGAAATACCGGTCACACTCTTGGCCCTCAAGGGGCTCACGGGCTCACCAGCAGAATGCATATTCTTGCATTTATCTTCATGCATATTCATAACGCACTCAAGTCCCACTGGTGCCCCGGATAGCTTTGGTATACTGGGGGCAGTGGACGTGGGAGAGAGATCTGGAAGGGTTTCATGGAGTCAGGGCCTGAACTGAGTCTTGGGTGGGGTGGGTGGGTCCAGTAGAGAATACCAGGCCCATTGGACTGGAGATAAAAAAGAAGATTCGGGGCCAGAGGCAACAGCATGAGCAGCTCTCTGGAGGCTTGATCTTGGATTCAGGCAGTTGCGAGTGGTTTGGGTGTTTGGTAAGACTGAGGGAGGGTATAGGAGCTCAGCCCCTTGTGTGCTGCACTGGGGAGCACGGCCTGGATGCAGAGGGCAGTGAGGGGCTCGGGTGGGGGCACAGCACCCCGTCTGCAGGGTAGGAGCTAAAATGGAGACAGCTCCGGCGGGGGTGGGGGGGGGGGGGGGGGGGGAGAGACCCGGCAGGCGATGATGAAGGTCAGAGCAGAGGGAATGAATAAAAGGAAAAGACTGCAAAGCAGCCACCCCTCCATCCATCTAGGAGATGTTTGCTGAGCACCTACTCTGTCCCACGGACTGTGCTGGGCGCTGGAGGAGGAACCAGCCAGGCTTGGTCACTGACTGGGTAGGCGGCTGGGGGCTCAGCTGGTGAGCAGTGGAGTGAGGACAGTTAGGAGGGGTAGGTGATGGACACTTTGGGGTCAAGGAGCTGATTCCAGGATAGGGGAGACAGCGAGGGGCAGGGAGGGGAGAAAATAAAAGGTATTTCCCATGGGGGAGTAGAAAGGCGCTAATTGCGTGGTGCTTTGCTGGTCTTTTAATTCAGCCCCCATTTAATATTGTTCCCATTTGTCCGGATCAGAAAACTGAGCCCGGGACACTTCACCCCCTTGTCCCATTAGTGTGGTGGTTGAGGGGGTGGTGGGACTTTTCCCGGAAAGTGATAGGTAGTAAATACCTCCGGCTTTGGGGGCCATACCTCTTTGTCAAACAGCCTCCCGTCTGCCACTGTCGTGAGAAAGGCAGCCGTACCCAGCACGGAAAATGAATGAGTGTGGCTGTGTGCTAATAAAACCGCATGAGCAGTGGGATTTGAATTTCGTATAATTTGCTCGTGTCAGGAAACATTCTTCTTTTGATTTCTTTTTTTTTAATGTTCAAAAATGTGAAAACCATGCCGAGTTCCGGGTTATGTTTGTCCGGGTGGAGCTGGGTTTCCAACCCGCCTCCTCCGCGAGCCCATGGACTTCCGGCCAGCTCAGCTCCCAAGTGCTGCGCAAACCCCGTCCTCCCTCCTGCAGTCTCTGTGCAGTTTGTCCCGTGGCCCGGTCATCTGGGATGCTCACGGGGCACCCTGCTCCCAGGAGGCCAGTCTTGGGGAAGAGGCGGGGTGGGTAGGCCATCCTGGACGGGCGCGGATCCCTGGCCGCCCACTCAGCAGCTGGGAAGACGTGAAACCTCTCCGGGTCTCAGTTTCCCCATCTGTAAAGTGGGGCTTAGCAGAGAACCCACACACTGTCGGGGCCGCTGTGAGGCCACAGTGGGTGCAGGCGTGGAAACGTGCCTCCTCCCTCGGCGGCCTCAGTTTCCCTCCTCCGCGCCTGGTCTCCGAGCCTCGTTTCCACGGATGGCTCCGCGCCTCTCCGGGCCCCCGCCTCCCCGCAGCCCCGCCGCAGTCCCCCCTCCTTCACGCCGGGTGTCTCCCAGCTGCCGCCAGCGCCGACGGTTTCTTGATAGCTTTTAAAAATGAGGCTCCCTCCGGGGCGGCGGGGGTGGTCGGGAGGGGGGCGCCGCCCGCGGGAGCTTCCCGGGCGGTGGTGGCTCCCGGCCTTTGGGAAGATCGGTGGCTTATTATTATGGAAATCGGGCCCGAGCGGCTTGCCCCCAGGCGCGGGAGTCGGGGGTGGGGGTGGGGGTGGGAGGTAAGCGCCCGCTAGTGGCCAAGTCCTGCGGCCTGGGGGGGGGGGGGGGAGGCGGGGATGTCCAGCCCCGCTCCGGGCTCCTGCCACAAGCCTACCCTATCCTAGCCCGGAGCTGTTCCCGCAGGGCTGATGGGCTGAGGGGCAGCTGGAGGGTCTGGGCTTTGAGGCGCTGCGACTAGAGGTCCTGGTGCCGGTTATTTTCAGTCCAAAAGGAGGAAAAAGGCTGTGGGGCCTACCCTGGCCATGGGAACAGAATGGGGTATGACCCCAAGTCCCTTTTACTGAGTGTGCACTTTGCACCCAGCACTCTGCTAAGCCCACTGTGGCTGTTGGTCTGTTTCCAAGTTTCCATGGATGTGGGCGTTACCGCTCCCATTTTAGAGGTGGGCAAAGCGAGACTCAGAGAGGCAGAGCCTGCAGGGCAGAGAGATCTGAACCCGAGGCTGCTAACAGCTGCGGCCGGTTCTGACACCCCTGGTCTTCCTGTCTCCCGTTGGAGGAGGGGCCACTTGAACTTCCAGGGGCCCCTGGCCAATTCCGAACGTCCCATGCCTCTCCGGAGGGGGCCCCTGCAGATGGGGAGACACACAATCTGCCCACGTCTGGGGCACAGCTGAGGGGGGGGGGCCGGCCTCCGGTAGTGCTGAGGCCCCCGGTTCCTGGCTACGCCCATGACCAGAGGGTTTGGGGTGAGTCAGAAGGACTCCCTCCTCCCACTCTGCCAACCTTAGGCGCACAGAATCCTATCCTCCAAAATCCGGTTCCTTCATATGTTTCACACGCTGCGGAAGGGAGACAATCTCGGCTTAAAAGTGATGGAGGAAATGAAATTGGGGACGTCAGATGGATGTGGCCACTCTGGAAGTCAGAAAAGTGACCCCACTAGACAGGCACGCGGCAGCCCTGGAAAAATTGTCGCAGCAAACAAGACCGGCTATGGCGTCTGCTGTCTTTGCTCTATAACGAGCCAGAGAAACCGGCAGGTACGCGGGCAAAGGGCAAGCGCAGACAATGCACACTAGGAAAGGAACACAGATGCTTAACCATCTCGTGGCAAGCGAATCCATTCCCACTCAGAGCCGTAAAAGGCGCGAAGACTTGAATACACGCAGTTCCAATCAAAGTAACCAACATTTTTTTTTTTTTAAATTTTTTTTCAATGTTTATTTATTTTTGGGACAGAGAGAGACAGAGCATGAACGGGGGAGGGTCACAGAGAGAGGGAGACACAGAATCCGAAACAGGCTCCGGGCTCTGAGCCGTCAGCCCAGAGCCCGACGCGGGGCTCGAACCCACGGACCGTGAGATCGCGACCTGAGCCGAAGTCGGATGCTTAACCGACCGAGCCACCCAGGCGCCCCTCGTCCAGTTTTCTATAATGAGCATGTTTTATTATTTTTTTTCCCACAGGGCACATTTCATTCAAAAAATACTTCCTTTGGGTCAAAGCTGGGTCCTCTCTGGGCGCTTATCGATTACACGAAAATCCCTGGGAGGAGGAAGAGAGGGAATTAAGGTTTCGCTTCGAAGGATCAGAGGGGCTGTAAGGGTCACGGGGTGAATCTTCCCTGTGCAGCCTCAAACTTCCTGCTGGTTCCCGGGTCCTCCCGGCCTCAACAGCCCAGTGGAGACGAGGTGAGCAGATGCTACTTTCCGGCCTTGTGACCCTGGGCACGTCACAACCTCGCTGGGCCTCCCACACCCTCGTCCGTTGCACGGGAATAACCCTGTCTACCTTGCGGGCTACGAGGAGGCGTACTCATGAATGTCGGTGGCTTCTGCCTCGGTCTTCCCCATCTGGCGCCTCCGTGGCGGGGTACCCCTCGGACGTGTGTCTTAACCTCAGCGAGCCTCCGTGTCCTCGCGAGGGAGGAGAAGGACAGTTTTACAGGCCCAGGCCTCCCTGGATGAGGCTGGAGGTCGCTGTGCGGATGTCAAGAGATGCGGAGCAGGAGGGGGCTTGGGGACTTCGGAGTCCAGGAGCAGAACCAAAGCCCATACCCCACCCCTGACCACGAGGCCAGCTCTCCAAAAGTAAACACTGAAGATCAGGCCGAGAGCGGGTGTGGGTGTCCTTTGGAGGTTTGGAGACAGCATGCCTGTTTTCTGACGTCTCTGGGGCCTTCGAGGGGCTGGGGTGGTCAGGAAGGGCTTCCTGGAGGAGGAGGGCTTCAGCTGGTCTTGGAAGGATGGCATGGGCAGCTCCTGGGACCTGTAGGAGTATCCTTGCTCTCGGCCCTGCAAGGAATCCCCCCCCCCCTCCCGTCAAGAATGGAATAGTGACAGCTGACATCTGCAGAGGGCATATGGTAGACTTGGCTCACGGTCCTTGTGATCAGCCCACACACTAGCCTGGAGGCAGGACTGGAGGAAACTTACAAAGGGGAAGAGTTCACTGGAACTGGGTTGCGGTAGGGGCCTGGGGCGCCATCCCTTCTGGATAAAACCACTGCTGCCCTTTGCTTCTCTGGGATTTGGCAGCCATAGGTCACATCCCTTCTGGCCCCCAGGGGGCGATCTGGACGTCCCCAGGTGGACCCTCGTGGATACGACCAGTCTGCCAGGTGCGGCTCCCCTCTACGCCCACTGAGCACTTTGCTGCTCCCCAAAGGGGCCATGCTGGAGCTGGGGCTCTATGCATTTCCCTGAGCAGCCCTGCACCTCAGGACTGTCCCCTCCCCACTGCCTGGCAGACGTCCCTCCCTTCCCCTACAGGCCCTTCTCCCCTGCTCCTCCCTGCAGGCCTCTTTCCCACGCCCCTCCTGCAAGCCCCCAGCGATTTGCCCCTCCAGGAGCTCATTTGTCCCTCTTCCCTCTTCCCTGCCTCTGGCCTCAGACTCCGACTCCTCTATGTGTCTCCCTCAGCCCAGAGCTGGCCTGGAACCAGGTACCGGAAGAGCATATTCTCCCCCAAGGAGGCCCTCTGGAATCTGGCTTTTCTCCTGCAGGGAAGTTGGATTTTAGGAAGGGAAGGCTGTGCTCACAGCTGCCTAGACGAAGCTGAATGGGGTGGGAAAGACACTGCCAGGCAGGGTGGGGGAGGAGGGGGGAGGCTGTTGCTGGGGATGGGTCCCCTCTGGTGGATGCGGGTCCAGAGAGGGTCGGCCACTTGTCCAAGATCACGCAGAAATTTGGGGCAAGGCCAGGACTTTGGCCTAGATGTGTCTTACTTCTTCAGTCATTCTGGGGAGGTCTGGCAAGGTGGAGGGGGGTGCCGGCCCTGCTGGGTAGAAGGGCTGGGTCTCTGCTGCCCCTGGGGGAGACCAAGCCCTCAGGGCACTGGGCGGGGGTGGGGGGGGGGGAGGAGAAGGAGGGGCTCCGGGCTGGCAGCCAGGGTGGGAGGAGACCTATCTTTGATTCTTTGATGCTCACACTTTGTGGACCCCTGGGGAACGCCTGAGTCATCGCTGAGCCGGCAAACAGATTTAGCTTGTTTCATTGTCCCTAATAAATCAATTTCTCCAGGTCTCTCACACCTACCGCTGGACTCCTGGCTGCCTGCCCCCCATCTCCTGCCTCCTGGCATCGGCGGGCAGGGCCCCAGTGCCAGCTCCGGGCCACCAGGCGAGAAGTGCCCCCACTCCTCAGGCGCAGGGCAGGCCCCCCCCCCCACCTTGCTTCCCAGAGCTCCCCAGCTCTTTCCTACGCCATCCCAGGGCATCCTGTGCTAAGCCTGCCCTCCCTCGATCTGTGATGGCCTCTGTTCAGCAGCCATGACGCTGGATCCCCAGTCCGAGCTTCATGACAAGGGGCACTGTGGGCTCAGAGACTCGAGGGATTACAGCACTGTCCCCCCCCAGCTCAGCCCCTGTCGGGGCCCAGCCTCCCTCAACCTCGTGTCCACCTTGGCCCGCTGGGGCTTGTGTTTGGCGCCCAAGGGCGTCCCGGAAGTACCAGGCCGGGTCACGCATCCTTGTCCTGGCTCCTCCTGGCTCCATTGGCTGGAAGAGCCAGGCCTCCACTTGGCTTATCTTTCATGGGCACCTCTTCCAAGAAGCCTTCCAGATCTTCAACCCTCTTGCCCCCATGAATCAATCTTTCCTCCTCCAATGGCCCCAGCCCATGTTGTACCGTGAAAACACATACACGGTTTGCTTTGCAACAATAATAATAATAATAAATAACAATGATAGCACTTAACATAACCGAGTCGGTACCCAACACGGTTCTAAGTGTTTTGCATATATTAAATCATTCCCATTTTATAGATGGGAAAGCTGAGGCTCAGAGAGCTTAGGAAACTCGCTTAAGACCCAGGGTAGTGTGAAGCCTTGAACCGAGCCCCTCGGGGTGGCTCTCACTATTGCCACCCTGTGACCCTTCCCAGTGAGTGGCTTTTCTGGCACCCTCTCTTCTCCCCCCTCCCCTCCCCAACTGTTTCAACCCATTCTAGGGTGAGGGCCTCTTTTGTACCCAATGTCTGGGACCTCCTTACACAGGGAAGGCCTCGTTAAAGGTTTGTGTCTTGGAACGCGCTTGGCTCAGCCCGTCGGGGCGGCAGATCACATCTGGAGGGGCTAGGCCACTAGTTCGGGGGGTCCCACAGCCAGAGAGTGAGAGAGCCAGGGTATCTGACTCCTGGGCTGAGCAGGGGCCGCTGTGCCCAGCATGCGGAGAGCACAGACCTGAGCTCATCTGTGCTTGTGGGTGTCTCTTGGGCTGCTGGAGCCCGCAGATCCTAGTTGACCAGCTGCTTCCCCTTCCGGGATGCCCAGGTCAAGGCTCGTCTCCAGGCAGAGTTCCCCTGCCTGCAAGGGACAGCCGTCGGGGGCGCCTCCAGTCTGGCTAGGTCCCGGAACCTCTCATTCGTGTGTGGTGGGAGCCCCCTGCTGCCCATAGCGAGTAGTAGCAGAACGGTGGGGAGGTGGGCAGAGGCCAACCGGGGAGGAGCCTGGGCCAGCAAGTCACCGAGTCCTTCCTGGATTGTGATGTGGCCCTGCCTGCCCCCACCCAGAGCAGCACCAGCCCTCTCCCAGTCCCCAAGCCCCCACGCGTCTGCGCCCGCTGAGGCTGAGGCCCAGAGGGCCTTTGCAATTGATTTGAGTCCAACCAAGGATTATTGTGCGCTTCCTGTGGGCCAGGCACTGAGCAGTGACCGTCAGGCCTGGGAGGAGTTCACAGCCAGTGTGTGTGTGTGGGAGGGGGGTGGACGAGCGGGCAGCAGGCATGAGGTGACCTCACTGCAATATCAGGTGTGTGTCCTTTTCCCCCACCAGGCTGCCTACAGAGACTCATGGCCAGCTCCTCTGAGAAGCCTCTCTGCCCAGCCCAGCCCTCCACTGGCCCCTATGCCGTGCCCCCTGCCATCTACACAGCCTAGCCTGTGCCTAGGCTGTCGCTGCCCTTCCCCCCACCAGAACCGAGCTCTTTTTGAAGGCCACAGCCTTATCACCATCATCTTTGGATGCCCGGTCCTGAGTGAGGAGCCTGGTACCTGGGAGGGGCGCGGGCCGCAGGAAGGAACGTATGGAGACACTGATCGGTTCCGCACCTTAAGGTTTTCAAGGGGCAACTCAATGGTGGACTTTCAGGCCGGGGGCTGGGTTCGGGTGTCGGGGGGCGCTTCGGGGCCCTACACCTCCAAAAGGGGCCGCCCCGCATCCTAGAATTCAGGATCGCCAGATCGTAAGCCCCCCCCGAAGTGCGGCTACTGAGCAAATATTGTGGGAATAAATGAAGGTTCCCACGTTCAAGCTCAGGAACACCCCAAGTGACTACTGGTTATCAGCCTGTACTTGCCTGCCTTTGGGGGAGTTCTTTTGCCCTTTCCTGGCCCTGGCAGGGGCACCTCAGTTCTGCCCCTGCTCTGAGGGACCTGTGTCACAAATCCCGCCTCTGGGGACATCTGTCCAGGGTGGCAGTCCTCGTGCCCTGAGGATGAGGGTCTGAGGCCCTCTGAGGGCCCACTCTTCTCTGTCTGGCCCTCCTGCCTTCGGCCAGGGAAGGGATGAGAGGGAAGGGCCTGGCTGGGGTCAGAGGCTGCAGACGTGACCACCGAGAGGACAGGCCCCACTCACGGAGTGCGTCGTGAGCTTTATTCTGTCTTCTGCGTGATTCCCAGAACAGCCACTCACGCCCGGAAAATCAACGATGAGAGAGGGGGGCTGAGGACCAGATAGGGAATTAGGGGGCCAGGGTCACACAGCCAGCGAATGCCGGTGGCGGGAGAGGACCTTAGAGCCCAGGACCCTGGGCCCAGTGCTCCTTCCAGGACCCCTGGCCCCCCGCATGGGGCGGCCGAGGTGGCATTCAGCTCCCGGCCTGACCCGGGGTCTGCGGAAGTCCTCGAATGTCCTCCAAGATCTCCCCACCCCCCCCCCCGCCCCAGCAGGGGCCCGATCCACACCCACTTCAGGAGCATGTCGTTAGCAGGCACTTACACACCTCCAGAGACGAGCATCTCACCCCTCACAAGGCAGCTCGTCTATCCCGACTCCATGAAAGGTGGGCGCGCGTCAGTGGGGGCGGGGGCAGGAGAGGTTGCCTCCCCTCCCCTGCGGACTCCACCTTGCTCGGGCTCGCCCACTCAGGTGGGCAGTAGGGCAGAGAAAGTCCCTCTTATCTCCTGCTTTCCTGCCAGGGACCTTCCCTCCGGGGGCTCCCCCGGGGCCCGTGCGAGGGGGTGAGAAGAGCTTCTGAGAAGGAGCCGGTTTGAGGACTCCCCCTCCAGGCAGCCCTCCTGGTCACCACGGTTCACAAAGCTCTCTCTTCTTGGCTTCTTGTGGCTGTGCCACCGGCCCGGCTTGGATACACCCGCCTGGGATGCTCTCTGCCACTTGCTTGGGGAGTCCCACCTGCCCCGCCTCCAAAAGGGACATCCTCGAGATCGGAGCGCACGCGGCTGTCGGCTTCCCGGTAGCCTTCGGTCCGAGCCCCTCCCGCTCAGTCCGCACGCAGGCGCAGACATCTCGGGCCAGAAGCTCCTTAGGCGGATCCAGTACAATCTGGCCCTTCTGCCGAGGAGTCCGTGAGGAGGAAGGTGGGAGCTTGTGCACGGCTACAGTCGGCCCCCCGGGGCTGTTGTCATTGCTGGGCGGGGGCGGTCAGCACAGAGACAGAAGGGGGCAACGTGTTTCTATGCTCCTGGCATCTCCTGTCTGTGGATCTGAGCGGTGTGTGTGTGTGTGTGTGTCCCTCCGGCAGGGACGGCCAAGCCACAGCCGGAGACAGGGGAGGGGGCTGGCTGAGAAGCCCCTGAGGAGGAAGAGGCGCTGCCATGGCCAAGGGCAGGGGGCACTCAGGAATCATACCGCTCCGCCTCCTTCGAGGGCCGACGGCATTTCAAGGACAGGAGATGTTTAACAGAAGCGGAAACTGAGGCCCACGGGGAGGACAGGGTGGCGGGTGCTGGGGCTGGTTTTTCTCTTTGGCTACTTTCCTCGTTCCCTGCTGCAGTGACCTGGGGCGGAGGGCGGGGGCCTTTGGTGGCCGGGGCTGCGGTGCCTCAGTGCCACCTCTGAGCCCTCGGACTTTTCCGGCCACCCCCCCGAGCCCGGCCGCCCCCACTCCTGTTCGCCCAAAGTAATGGGGGCCGGGGGGCCCCCCCCGCGCCCCCCCCCCCCCCCCCCGGGGGGGGGGGGGAGGTACGTCTCTAGGTACCACAGGTCGTGGGGTCCCCCGGCACCGCCTCCCAGGAAGCTCAGTGCCTGTTGGCAATCTTCTTCTTCCGAGCAGACACCAGGTCGTAGAAGGGGACGCGGGTGATGCTGGCTCTGAGACGAGAGCAGGTGACAAGATGTCAGGGCTGGGCCGGCTCCCCCGCGGGCCTCGGCTCCCGGGGCTTGGAACAGGGCTGTGGGTCTCCCAGGGAGGGGACGGCCAGCCCTGCTGCGGGACAAAGGCCAGATGACCCCAACAAGGGCCGAGCTACGGTGGGTCAGCTGTGCTGGCCTGCCCCGGAGTGTCCCCCGCCCCCCGGGGGCAGGGCGGGAGAGGGTGAGGCCGAGAGCTGACAGCCTTGGGAATTCTGTTCCCAAAGGGCTCTGCACCCCTCCTCCGACCTGCTTGCCGGTCTGGCTCTGCCCCGCGCTGGCTGTGTGGCCGGGTGAGCCCCTCCCCCGTCAGGGCCTCAGGGCCTCATCTGTGAAATGGGGCTAAGAGCCGGTCTGGCCTGGCAGCTTCACAGGACCGCTACCAAGGCTTGAGGGGAAAGACCCCGCCAGGGCCTGGGACACAGCCCCTGGCCGAGTGACCACTCCTGTGTCTTCCTCTGGCTAACGCCACCCAGCCTCACCCGTGTCGCCCCATCGGCTGCCGCCCCTCCCCTGCCTGCCTTCCACCTGTCCCTCCACCGCCCACCTCAAAGTCAGCTCCTACACCATGGGTTTTCTTACCTGGCCACCTCCCTACTCTGTTTACCGGTCTGCGGCCCCCCAGTGCCCCCAGGAGAAGCTAGTCGCCAGGGGGACCAAGGCCTTGCTATCCTGTGCAGCCTGGTCACCTCCTGGTGGGTCCCTGCAGGGCCAGGCCCCTGCACTGCCCGGCACCGGCCACCCCGGGACTCCAGAGTGCTTGTCCAAGCAGGCCACACCCTGACTGGCCCCCCGGTCCTGGCCGGGACTGGTCCTTCTGCCTGGAAAGGCCTGCCCTCCGTCTCTACCGGCTCTTTCCGGGGCCCCTTTTAGATCCTGATGCTAACGACAGCGCCGTTCAAGGGCACTTGCCACGTGCCGGGTGCCGGGCCAAGATCTTTTCGTGCAACAACGCACGGGATCCTCCCACCAGCCCGTGAAGTTGGGGCCTCCCTTCCCTGAGTCCCGGGGCCTGGCACTGTGCCCGCGACGGAGGGGGTGTTCACAGAATAGGGGCGGAAGGGATTTGCAAGCCGGAAACGAGAGGGAGATTCTGGATTTAGCCCCTCGTACAGACAAGGCTCGGAGAGGATCAGGGGCTTCCGGAAGCCACAGGAACGGCACCCCCCCCTTACCGTATGGCCTTGATCCATTGGTCGCGCTCCTCGGCGCTGGAGGCGGAGATTCGATAAGACTCGTGCTTGCCCTCCACCACCTTGCCCTCGCCATCGGTCTTGCAGGCCTTGATCTTCTGGCCGCGGCAGCTGGGGTTGTAAAGCTCCAGGCAGAACTGTGGGGAGGTGGCCGGGTGAGGGCCGGGCGGGGGACCGGGCAGGGGTGGGAGGAGAGGGCGGTTGGGCTGGGCTTTCCTGGGGGTCCTTCCAGGACTCGGCATGTGGGGTTCGGACTAGCAGCCGGCCACACCCGCCCCGGGCCCGCTTCCTGTGCCGGGAGGACGGGCAGGAGCGGTTCTTCCTCACATCGAGAACTGACCATGGGCCAGGACTGACCCAATAAACCCACCATTTCCCCGAAAACCCCCAGTTGGCAGCTGGGGAAACTGAGGCTCAGAAAAGGCACAGACTTACTCAAGGTCATCAACCAGCGTCAGAGGCAGGCTCTGAGAGACGATGAGACCGTGCCCTTTTGGATGTTACGGACCTGCCCCCAGGATCCACAGTCTCAGGAGGGAGACAGAGGCAACCCTGAGCCCCGCAGAGGGCGCCCTGGAGGAACCAGCCCAGCCACCTTCTCCCTGCACCCCATTTCAGAAATTCCCCCAGCCGCTCAGGTCTCGGGGCTCCCCCCC